TAAAAATAAAAAATGGTTCTATAGCAATCAATTTCCCCGATTAGGAGGTTTGATTTAGATTGTTATCTAGAATTCCATTGTATTCAATTTCTTAAATTATCAGTCTTGTCATTCTTCTAGTATTTGTTATTGCCATTTATTTTCTCTTGCTTACTTTGGTTTTTCAGATGTTCTTAAACACTTTTCATCTTGTCCAAGAAAAAAAAAAAGAAGTTAACTGCTACACATTCAACTAACTTTATTGAAATTTTAGAATAAATTATTTGCTAATTGTATCCCTTGTGATGAACAATATTCTGAATTGTGTTCAGTTCGATGATCATGTGCTATACACCACGAGCACAACATATAATTTTAACATTATTTGTACAAAATGATAATTGAAATTGGCCCAGTTGTTAGCGTCTTTTTCACCGTCTTTTTCACCTTGCTCATAAATGCAACCTTTAAGTACGATAACCAAAAAATTAAAAATTCAAATCGCGACCCATCCCCTTACATAAAACTAGATATGCAAAAAAGAAACTAAAAAAAAAAATTCCAAAAATAGGGCATATACACGCAAATTCAACTGTATGCATTTCTCTCAAACGGAGTTTGTGCTTTTCATAGCCTCCCAGAAGAACAGTAATTGCTTCCACACCAAAAGTAACTGCTAAAATAAACTGTTTCCACATTCAAAAATCTAGTTAAGAGTTTCATTATCATAACAATGGAAGTAGAAGCAAAACTTTCAAGAACTTGTTGACATTCGTTAGAAATGCACAAAAAAGCCCAGTATATGTATTCATATTATCCTCACTAATCAAAAAAATTCAATTCCGATCTAAGAGTATAATGGGATACCGGCCTCTGAAGCATCTCTCTCATAGCTTACTTCGACTAGGAGTCAGGAGACATCAAGGCGAGCAAAAACAATAAAGGCAATGTTTATCACCCAGCAGGCAGCAACTATCATCGTCCCCTCTAATGAGTTTTGCTCAGCTGCGTAGAACGTTTTATATCCTAATTAGTCTGGTTTCTGTTTGATATCCTTGCCAATTTGGTTGAAATGGTACCTGCTCCTTCAATTGTCCACATAAGCTGCGGGATTCTCCTTGTCTTCCTTCTGCTCTAATTCGCTTTGTCTTCCCATTTTTCAAGTGCTATTATGTCCTCTAGAAGTTTCAAGGGTTAAGTGTCTTCATCATCGTGTCAAGAGCTGCGACAATAGCTCGTCTTCTAGTTCCTTACCAAAGCTCCCATCGTCATCCTGCTCTTCAAATTTCTCATTACTTCCCTGCTCTTTGAAGTTCTGATTGGCTTCCCGTTCCTGTCCTTCGAAGTTCTCGTTCTCTCCCTGTTTTGGTGGTTCTTCAGCAGGACGCTGGCCATATTTTATTTGTTGATAGAAAAATTCTTTCTGAGCATTCCAATCTTCAGAAGTTTTCTCCACGACATCCCCAATCAATCTTTTGTTATCCGTAACGTGCTTTATGTTTTGCACATCTACCACCTTGCTAGCCTCTTTACAGGAGAACAAATAAAACTCAGCATCGGTAAAAGAAACAAGTGGAAAATCCTAATAAGGGAAGAAAACAAAGAAGAACGTAAATAGACAAGTTTGTGGGAACATGTTTGAAGCTCTGTAGGAAATAGTCACACTCAAGTTGCCAGCTCCCAACAGTTGTATATTTCTAGGAGTATACGGAATCTGACAAATCCATGACAAGATAATGTAAGGCGAGACTTTATAAGCCAGTTGCCAGAAAAAAGAAAGAGAAGAGGGGGAGAAAAGGTAAGAGTATTGGAAATAATCCAAGTAACCTCAACAATTGAATAGTTTGGGAATCAGGCATGTAGCAAACAGAAGGCAAATGTTGTTATTCAATACTTCCTGCAAATCGGGAATTCCAAAACTCATGAATAACTTGGAACCAGATCTTCCACCTTATTTATGAAAGTATCACATTCATTAAAATGTGAACCGTATGAGGTATGCTTTTATAGAAAAATTCAGGAAGGGCCACCGACTTCCAATTATTATATCTAGTTGAAGTCCAAGTAATTAAGTCATCATGCCTGACATGTTAAGTTTCCCATGCCTGAAATAAACTCGATTCAATAAAACAAAGTAGACAGAATTACAACAGCAGCTTAACCACAAGAAGATAAATTTATGCACCTCTGATGGCTTCATCCTTGGCCACCGCATAGTCTGTTGACATTTTCTTGAGCTCACCAATGTCAAGTTCCATACCCTAGAACGTGTGAAATACAAATTAGCACTTTAAACTACAAGATTGATATCAAGACACCTGCATATTAAACACAAGCAATTTAATGAGACATTTTGGGAGAAAATCCATGGTCCCCTCGGTAAAATGCAAGACCTTTTGACATGCCAAATGTTTGCCAATCAATATGAACCCCAAAAAGGTATGTTTTGATCTTATTTCAGTTTCACTCTCCTCAAAAAAAAAAAAA